ATTTAAGATAATGTAACGGTGTGCGAGGTATCGAAATCAAATAATTCTACGTGCCAATTACTATATTATTCCCTATTCTCAAGAAATATCGTCAACTTTATAGCAGAAAATCTTCGAACTCCTACTCTTCTTTAGCCAAAAAATCGTCGAGTGCAAAGGGTTAGCCTTCTTTTCTTTGTAATATCTCACGTGTTATTTTCCAGTAGGTTTATTTAATGGAAATAAACGACCTACGTTCGTTGACTGTCTATTTGTTGACAAAATATGTAGCACACGATAATAAGTAATATGTGACACAAATTTAAATACACTTAACCCTCTTACAGTATATTTATCTTTTCCTCTTATTTTCTATTCTGCTATCTCCTGTTATATTTTTCTGCTACATCGAAACTGTGTTTTTACAGTACCATATTATAAAATTATGCGAACCTAATTTTAATATATATATTATTATATTTATTTGCAGAATGAATTATTTAGAATTAATTTTGAATATTTGAAAATATGTAATACATACATATAAAAGTACTTTCCATATACTACCATATACAGGGTGTATATATCGTCAATAGGTCGTCCTTAATTGGCGACGGTTAATGACGAACCAAATTTCTTGAGGAACGTTGTGTTTATAGTGGACTGTATTTTATGTAGTAGTTTCGGATAACTCTTCTGAACTCTTCGAATGTTATTGACTGACTGACTGGTACTGACCTAACTAACTTGTGCGATGCACGATCTTTCGGAGCCCATGGTTTCCAAAGGGAAATCGGTTTTCCCATTGGTGGTTGACAGGACCGAGGGTGGGCCCTCGGTCCGCGAATCAGATGCCCCCAAAGAAGGGAGGACCGTCTTCCGCGACCAGGTCTGCCGGTGGAGGAAGCCTCTCCCTCAAAGGGGGTTGCTGGTGGGCCCCCCGCACATTCGTGACCCTTCCTGAAGGACCCGTTACTTTATGGCTCCGAAAGTCGCGACATCGCACATGGCCTGGTCCCTTTCTTTGCAGGCCTATTGTCAGCCAAATCCTAAGTGCTGTTGCCTGCTTTCTAACATTAATGGCTAAAGAAAGCCTCGTGTCCGGTGACCCGAGGGAAATAAAGAATTGTTTGAAAATGCATTGAAAATGAAGATAGAAAGGACACGGAACTTGAACTAAAACAGCAATTAGAATCTGGCTGCCAGAAGACCCTAACGGTCTTCTGGCTCTATTCTAAATAAATCACCGAACGAAATACCGGCACGACATTCCAAGGCTTAACAGGGTGTCAAATATGAATTAGCACAACGGATATCTCACAGAGAAATAATTAAAACAGGAAATGGTGACAGACATCTCCTGTAATTTTGGACAAGAATTCATATACTGTATGAATCAATAATATATAAATAAAAATTTTCGTGATAAAAATAGCGTATCATAGGTACAACTACAATAATTCATCGCACCGAAATTGCAATACATACGTGTCTTTATTTCAATAGAAAGCCGTGCATGCGAAAATTCCACAGTTTGCAGAATATACACAGACACTTTCAATACAATCAAAACCTATGAAAGGGAAAATTTTGTAACTTCAAAAAATGTTTAATAGTACTAACGCCTGAGTACTAACAATGGCAATGTAAAACAGTGCCAATTATTATAACTTCCATTTCTGCTCTTTCATTCGTTATATCGTAGAGTAGGATTTATCAATAGCTTTTACCTATCACGATTCAAACTCAATTGCTGAAGTTGTAACGAGTCGTGGTGAAACTCATAATTAAAAATGTTCTCATACATCCATCGCTATAATAGCCAGACACACACCTGCTTCTTCCAGTTGTTGATCAAATTATCAGTTGAATACCGTCCATACGAGAGCCAAATCTTTTAAATCATAGAGAATTATTCCAACGACCAAATCAATTTATCCGCATTTATAATTGAATGTTTCATAAAACGGATTACCCTTTGCAAGAATTTATACCTACAAACCTGAATCCTGCTACTCAAGGAACAATGAAGTTCACGTTTCTTTACCCACTGTGGTCGTGAAACAATTCAGAGATGCGTAGAACGCGAAAGAAGAACCGCCATATTGAAGGAAATAATTTTTCAATTGGTCACTGCTTAATCTCCTCAAAGCATACCATTTAAAAGGTATCTTTCAATGCAACCTGCGCCACGATATCCACCATCCACGAAGAATGGGCTACAATTCAAAAGACCTCGCGACCAATGGCGCCACGAATTAAACCACGAAATAATTATGGACTGACAACGTCCCATACACGTGAATTTCGTCATTGTACTTCATCGTATTTCACTTAAAAAGGAATTAAAAGAGAAGAAAAAAGAGAAACATCGGAATCGATATATGACGAGTACACTAAACCCAGGAAGTGATTCTTTAACATAAAATAGCGCTGCTATTTATCAAGGGATCGTTCTTGTGCATATACATGTTGCAAACTTCAATCATTTTCGTTAATTTTTTTGAAGTTAATGTTATGACTAATTTTTGCAATTTATTTGACAATCTTTTGGAAGTACAAAATAATTTTTGCAATAATTTTTAGCAATTTTCCATAACACATATTCTGTTATACTTAATACCTGTTTGAATACTGCCATAAGTGATGAATAAAATAGAAAAAATTTGTGTCAAATAGGTTTATTGGTATCTCTTAAAACAAAATAATCATTTTATGCCGAAAATTGGTAAAATGGGAGAAGGTTAAATTAAAAATCAAATTTTATTATTTTTCCACAATTTTTTAATAAGAATATATTGTAAACTCAGTATAGAAAAATAAAAATATCATTTTCCAACGAAAGCTATATACTAGTATGTGGAAGAACATGTACAAACTTCAGAGCAATCGATACTATAGTTTTCGTGATTTTATCTAGGCCAATTGCAAGAATTACGTTTGAAAAATTAATAAATACGTTTTCAAATAATAAAATAAAAAATGAATCGATATCTTCGAGGTCTGCGACGAGAACGACTCCTTAACGACCGGAAGCAGTATTCCGAATGCTGAATCCCGCAGACCAAGCATCCGTACATAAGATTATCTTTATAATGCCCCTAAAAACGACGTGTTTATGTCGAGCCACGGGGCATAACGTAGCCCTTCAGCAGCCGGTTACATAGACGACATTTACGAGGACATACCGAGGCCCGTACTCCCTCTGAATCTTGGTCGAATGCCAAATGGCAAACCTTAACCTCGCCGTAATTGAAGGACTCGATAAATAATGGCTACGTCTGCGTTTTCAGTAATGCGATCCGCCTGTTATGCGGCGCGTAGGCCGGCCGGCCTTTCGAATCTGGCGCGCGGCCGCCCGGCGCATGCGCACCGCCCGGTACGTAAATAACCTCGCGACAAAGAGAAAGATAAAGCCGACCGATACGGGAGTAGCAGGGCCACGCGGTTAACTCGGTCGTTATCGACAAAATGATAATATCACGCGCGGGCAGAGGATGTGTTTGTTCACATGCCCGATACACTTTGAACGCTTTCCAAACTGTATGAAATTCAAAGTAGCGCGATGTGCGTGTGTACATATGTACGTATATACGCGAACTACGATTTAACATGGAATCTCTAGATCCACGGTGTAATCTAGATTCGGCGGGATTCACAATTATCGTGCTTATTCGTGCGCACGGTAAACTCGCATAAATTAAACTGCAGGAGTCGCTGAGAGCGCTGGCGGCCAACCATTTCGTTAAAGCTACGATAATAAGGTCCCGTGTAACTGGCGGAAAAAGTGCCACCAGATCGCGCTACATATTTTTCTTTCGCCACGGACCTGCACGCGTGTCTGTAAACTCCCGGCCATGCTCGTAACACGTGTTGCGGAGGGGTGGGGCGACGGCAAATATGGCCGAAGCGAATTTTTAACGCGCGCTTTTTTAATTGCGTCCTTTTACAGCAGCGCTCCGAGTAAATGATTTCTCGGAGTTATATCTTCGGGGGAAATTTGAATTTTCCTTTTTGTTTTTTTTATTAAGTGATTGTTTGATTTGAGTCTCCCTTTTATTTTCTTTTTTTATTTTATTTTATTTTGAACATTTATTTTGAAGAAGGTGGGAGGTTTAATTATAATTTCGGTGAAATTTTTTGTTTTTAGGGATTAGAAAAGAAAGGTATATGATGTGTAGTTAATAAATAGAACGTAATTAGTTAATCGTGGATAAATTTGAGTCTGTAAAATTGGCAGGAAATTGAGTAATTGATTGATTTATGCTTCCTTCTCTATTTTTTCTTTTTCATTTCGTACGAAAAGAAGGAAGGACGTTTAATTATTAATTTCGATGAAATTTTTTGTTTTTAGGTATTCGAAGTGAAAAGTGTATAATATATAGTTAATTAGTAGCACGTAATATAACAATTAAATATCTTTTCTGAAAAAAATGAAATTAATATCCTATATTGTATATTGTATAATAATTATTAAATTACTAAAATTAGTAAAATAGGATACCTTAATATATTATTTATATTAAATATAAAATATTAAAGTAACCAAAAAATTAAAAAAAGAATCACAGAATTAAATATCATGGAAAGAAATATCAGCTTTAAATCTAACATATTAGTTACCTTTTTCACCCAAAATAAAATAAAATATCACATTCGGTAACGCTGTACAAATATCTATCAAAGTAATCAATACTTTAATCCCTCTTTATCATCTGAAACGAATCTTAAATGAGTCGACCACAGACCAAAATGAACAATTTTCTCCACTTTTCGAATTTTATTAATTTAAAAAATTAAAAATTTTTAATTCCATCATTGCTTCACTTTTTACATTCAAAATCAATTTCTATTGTTCTGTGGAGTTAATTGATTTAACAAATGAACGACTCTAACATAAAAGTGTGATTCTCGAAATAATCGATGCTCGAATTCATCGAGCCTGAAAATGATGAAGTGTTAGAATAGTTGAACGGAAGAGTGAAAGCTAATCTGAGATTCGTGGTTGGCTTGTATTGCAGGTTTTCTACCAAAGAATCGGCGACACACGCTATTGTGGCAGTACACAACACCGACATCAATGGTCAAACGGTGAAATGTAGCTGGGGCAAGGAGAGCGGGGATCCGAACAATGCTCAACAAACTGGACAGGTAAACGTTCGCTCTTTTATCGACCTCTCATGGGGAGAGGAAGCAATGAAAATCGCGACAGAATTCTGGATAAAGTTTGAAACGGCGCTTAAGATAAAATTCCAAATAAAGTCTCGAATCGCCCCTTTCGTTGGTCACGCGAAAAATGGCAAATGGTACCGGGTAGTTGAAAAAGGCAAAATGAAAGGGTGTTACCATTCGCCTTAATTGCTCGAGCACGATGTGCAAAGAAATAATAAAAATAGGGAAACTTGAAACATTTGCAAGCGTTGTTAGTATATCGTAAGTAACCGAAGATAAAAATCTGGAATTTACTGGAATGTGGGTTGATCGTTTGCCAAATGAAGTGTTCTTGTAACTAGGAGTTTGTTGTATTAGAACTTTTATGTAGCTCAATTTTTTTTTTCTTGCTTTATTTCATTCCTTTGAATATGATCTTATGAATAATTCAATATTTTTATTATCAATTAATATAAAATAAATTTTACTTGTTTAAATATATGCAATATAACTTTATGGAGATTTGAACACTTTGGTCATTAGTCAATGCAAAATAAATACTTTTACTATCAATCAACACAGTAAATTTTATTTAATTGGATACATGCAGGATGATCTTATGTACAATAAATATTTTTATTATCGATTAATATAAAATAAATTTCATCTGTTTGAATAGATACAATATGACTTTATAGAGATTTAAACACTTCTATTATTAATCAGTGCTAAATAAATACTTCTGTTATCAATGAATACAAAATAAATTTTATTTAATTGCATACACGCAGTATGATCTTATGGACAATTAAATACTTTTATTATCGATTAATATAAAATAAATTTCATCTGTTTGAATACATACAATATGACTTTATAGAGATTTAAACACTTCTGTCATTAGTCAATGCAAAATAAATACTTCTACTATCAATCAATACAAAGTAAATTTTGTTTAATTGGATACACGCAGTATGATCTTATGAATAATTACATATTTCTATTATCGATTAATATAAAATAAATTTTATCTGTTTGAATACATACTATATGATTTTATGGAGACTTAACCCCTTCTGTCATTAGTCAATGCAAAATAAATACTTCTACTATCAATCAATACAAAGTAAATTTTGTTTAATTGGATACACGCAGTATGATCTTATGAATAATTACATATTTCTATTATCGATTAATATAAAATAAATTTTATCTGTTTGAATACATACTATATAACTTTATGGAGATTTAAATACTTCTTTTATTAGTTAATGCAAAATAAATACTTCTACTATAAATCAATACAAATTAAATTTTATTTAATTGAATACACGTAGTATGATCTTATGAATAATTGAGTAATTCTATTGTCAATTAATATAAAATTAATTTAAATCACTAAATCAGGTGTGAAATGAAGTTAAAAAATTGTGTAAATTAAATTGAAAAATTATATATTATATTTATATATATATATAAATATTTATACATATAGGAATAGGAATATAAATAGATAGAAAAAATGGTATGTTCATTATTGTATATTTGCATATCCATAGAGATATTAATATCCATTAAGCACCTGTGAATAAATATGTATCACGATACAGAGTGATGTTGACAGAGTGTAAATTTCACATAAGCTTCAATCTAAATTGAAATCTATCATTACATTTATGTAATTAGTGTTCTAATTTTAAAATCCTAATATAGTACATGCATCATTAGAGAAGACAGCAGCCACACGTTTTAAGTGATTAAATACTTGATAATTCAGTGTTAGGTAATAAAACTCGTTCAATTAATGTGAAATTAAGAAAAGAAATACTGTTTTTAGAGTTCATCTACACGTAATAATTTATATATTAAAACCGATTGCATGATCTAAATTTGAAAATAAAATTGGAAGAAAACAATATGAATTTAGGGAGATCTGCCAAGCATGTTCATGCTCCAACTATGTTTTAACTTCATGGTATGTGCCAAAGATCCTAGCAATTAGTACCAAGTCCACTTTGAACTAAAGCTGAGTTCGGTTTGAATTAGGAATTGAGATATCTTGGTAAACCCATTATCGTATAAGTCTGTTCGATCGTGTTGTATATATCACATTGGTAATCATTCCAATTTGAAACTAAATAAGAATGCATGTTTCTAAGAATAGACTATTTTTCGAGTTACCATGGGATTTTTATTTTTATAGATCATATTGAATCAAACGTAAATTTTATTAAGAATACTTATTTATTTATAGCGAAATTATTATATGTAAAAATAAAATAACGCCATGATTATTAATATACTATATATAAAAATAGTACAATTTCCACTTTTTAAATTTTATTCATTTTATTCATTTTGGGTTCTATGAATGTAACGAATATTAATGTATTAAATAATTTCAAAGTAATTTGCCTACATTTAATCTTTGGTAAATTAGTTATAAATTATTAGGTGCCATTTTATGCAGACCATCTTTTAAATTTCCATATAATATTTAACCACGTAAAACCAATTTGCTGTAAATTCATATCTTTCTTTCTAATATTTTACATCAGTGATTTAGTATATTATAATTATTTTTAGATATGAGGATTTTTAAATTAAAAATTTTTTAAATATACCATACTTAACTGCAATATTTATTTAGGGATATTTCTCTCATTTCTGATAGATTTGAAAAAAGAACACATAAAAATAACCATTCAATCTGAATTAAAATTGCACTTATATTTCTCTATCATATCAGTAAGAGCTATAATATATCTCTTTATGTGCTCAGAATTTTAATAATTAATTTATGCATGTCCTAAAAAATTTTTTAAATAAACCATACCTGTTTATTTATATAGGGATAGTGATTTTGGACCAATATAACAACACCTAAATACATATGAAGATTAATTTTACTCTCAGGAACCAAATTATAATAAGAAAAGATATACATCTCTCGAGGTTCCCAATAGACTCAAAAAATTTGAAAAAAGTTACCTAATGTTCCTTCTGAACCTAATTTAATTTTCTGTCTTCTTATAATATCGTACACATATTTTCCAAAAATAATCCAGATAATCTTCATTTACAATACACGACGAGACACATAATTCCCAACACAAATGTCCAGCCACGAACGGTCCACTGACCCAAACCCAACGCATGGGCAATGAAAAGTGCAATACTAATTTCATCGCATCCGATCGCATTCTAGTCGAAAGCACAAACGTACGGCGCGTCATTATCGAGAATAAATCGCAAAAAGCGAATTCCTACGGGGTATTGGAAAAAGGAAATAGTTACAGTATTCGATTGCCAGTTCCATCCGGTTCGGGCTTTGCGTTCGGTGCATGACCGACTGGTACGAGCCCGGTGGAAGAGTAAAAACGGAAGGAGGAAGGGAGGACAGGGAATCGGGCAAGATTCCGGTCTATTCACGAGCCTTGCTCCAAAGTGTGTCTGTCGGGTCTCTCAGCAATTAGCGCCGGTAGGACGAGTAAGTACGTCCGATCTGGGAATGGTAGCCCAAGTACGCCCTCTTCTCCCTTGCACTCTCCTCGGCGGTACTTCCGTCCATCCATCCACTGTTACTCGGCCCGTGACATCGCTCTAATTGATCCCTATTCCCATAACGCGCTTCTCCCACGAGTACCGGAATATCGCATTACTACGTACCTCATCATGCCTCGGTCTCATACTCCACGCAGTTGGACTGCTTTCATGTTCGATCTCCTTCTTAACCTCGCTAAATTACCCGCCAGGCGGCGCAACCGAGACCGGCCAATCGAGATCTGCAGTTTTTGGCTCCCTCTCCCGAGTTTCCCGCGAGGGCCACTAGGCGGCGCGTCGGTAGCTCGCGAGACGAACGTAGCTGTTTCCACTCTGTGCGTGAACTGATTTATGCTTTAGGAAGTACTGATAGTTTTAGAGTTTTTAATTAATGGAAATTAATGGTAGATTGATGTTTAGAGTTAGTAAAATTATCGGGAACGCGAATATATTTGTTTTAGTAGTAATTGAGTGATTTTATTGAAGCAATTAGATCAAAATTTAATTTTATATATGTAAGGCAGGGAGAAAGAGAGTGTTTGAATAGTAGAACTTATGTTTAAAGTACAAGAGACACTTTGGGCAAGTAAGGCTGAATATAGAGATAAATATTATTATTCAAATTTGGTATTATTTAAGTATGTTTATTTATGTACATTTAGAACGCATTTATACGTATATTACTATTTATTCCTAACTGAATATTCAAAAATCAGAGATGTCAATTTGTATCGGTCATTGATGTAAGAAATTAATTAACAATTCCCTTCTGACCTTTAACCATGATAAAATTGATCATGAAAAAGTGCTATTTGTATGGACTATTTTTCAGAAAGTAAAGAAATTAGTATCTAAATTAATAGCTGAAGCTCACTATAGCACTGCATAGTAACCAAAAAGTCACTAGTGCATGTCTAAACTTTCTCCTCCACGTTATCCATACATTTACTAACAGAAATTAAGAAACCAAATGCATATATTAAAATTGAAGCTAGAATTTCCAATTCCAATTTACACATCTCAGACAACAAAAAATATACAAAACTACCCGAATTTCTTTTGCTTCCCAACTCTGTCATTAAATGAGCTGTTCACTGCACAAATTGATTAACTCCTCCTTTTGAAAAATCTTAAATATAAAAAGTTGTGACTATACCAGGTGCTTTGACACTGTTAATCGATTTGTTCAGTGAACGGCTCAAGTGAATCTCTCACAGCACAACCATTTGCCAAATCGATCAATCCCACAGAACTGGGTAAAAAGTGTGAATCTATTTTACGCATAGGAGGTTAATCATGCACCAAGAACTTTGTCACTGGAATTAGAGTTGGAAAAGTTGAAAAAGAATTAGGCAATGATGCTCTCACCGGTTATACGTAGAATCGAAACTCGAGGATAGGATAAAAATCGAGAATTCCGTGATCTTTTCTCAGCGCGTTAAAGTAAACGCGGGATCGTGGGCATCGCGAGGATTTAACGGCACATGTGAGACATTAGGGGGATTTTTAAAACGAGCAGTATTACCATTCTTAACCCTATTGACATCGTTAAGCATAAAATCCAGGCGATGCCTTTGCTCTTTTCTATTTCATTGATCTCCGTGCTCTTCCAGGCGTTATCGTCGGCGACGTACCCATACTACGCGGCGGCAGCAGCTGCCGCCGCGGCGGCGGCAGGCGTCGCGGGTGTCGGAGGCGTCGGTGGCGTCGGCGGTGCTGGCCAGCTAGGATACTGGTATCCGCCCCAATCTTATCCCACGACAGCGACGCAGATGCAGGCGGGTGGCTTCCTGCAAGGAATGCAAGGATATACTTATGGACAGTTCGCCGGGTATCAACAGGCGCAGTACATGGGGTAAGCTCACTTACGTTCTTACTCTCAGACAAGGTAATTCGCCAGTGGTACTGTGCACTGGATGCTCGAGACCGTTCCGACGTCTAGCAAGTGGATGTCACTTATACACGCTTCGTGGATTGTACTTTTCGCGTGTTTGACAGTAAACCTACCACGGTCTAAACTGCTGGTGTCAAACTAGCACGAGAACATGGTCCACCAAGTGCAGTTTTGGAGATTCTGCGGATCGTGGACGAAAAATGTCTGTTGATGAAATAAATAGTAGGATAGGAAGATAGCATATTGATGCACGAGAGTCTGCAATTTTACCTTTATTATAAAAATTAAAAATATACACTCTGAATATTATTATTTATTTTTATTATTTTGGTAAAATCAATTTGAAACTTTAATCTGTAGGATGTATTTTGAGAAAAATATCTCATCGTCGATGAAATAAATAGTAGAATAAAAAGATAGTATATTGATATATAAATATTTGGAATTTTAGGTTTCACTTTTATTAAAAAATTAAAAATATACATTCTGAATATTATCATTCATTTTTATTATTTTGGAAATGTCTGTTGATGAAATAAATAGTAGGATAGGAAGATAGTATGTTGATGCACGGGAGTCTGCAATTTTACCTTTATTATAAAAATTAAAAATTTACATTCTGAATATTATTATTTATTTTTATTATTTTCGTAAAATTAATTTGAAACTTTAATCTGTAGGATGTATTTTGAGAAAAATATCTCATCGTCGGTGAAATAAATAGTAGAATAAAAAGATAGTATATTGATATATAAATATTTGGAATTTTAGGTTTCACTTTTATTAAAAGATTAAAAATATACATTCTGAATATGATCATTCATTTTTATTATTTTGGAAATGTCTGTTGATGAAATAAATAGTAGGATAGGAAGATAGTATGTTCATGCACGAGAATCTGCAATTTTAGGTTTTACCTTTATTATGAAAATTAAAAATATGTATTCTGAATATTAATATTCATTTTTATTATTTTGGAAATAGTGTTTGTCGATAAAATAAATGGTGGGATAGGAAGATGGTATGTTGATACACAAGTCTAGAATTTTAGGTTTTACTTTTATTATAAAAATTAAAAATATACATTCGGAATATTATTATTCATTTTTATTATTTTGGGAATAATGTTTGTCCATGAAATAAATTGTGGGATAAGAAGATAGTATGTTGATGCACGAGAATTTGCAATTTTAGGTTTCACCTTTATTATAAAAATTAAAAATATGCATTCTGAATATTAATATTAATTTTTATTATTCTGACAAAAATATCTGTCGATGAAATAAATAGTAAGATAGGAAGGTAGTATGTTGATACACGAGTGTCTGGAATTTTAGGTTTCACTTTTATTATAAAAATTTAAAATATACATTCTGGATATGATTATTGATTTTTATTAGTTTGATACAATCAATTTCAAACATTAATCTATGGTCTGCATTTTGTGGAAAATGTCTATCGATGAAATAAATGATGGTCTAGGAAGATAGTATGTCGGTGCACGAGTTTTTGGAATATTAGATTTCACTTCTATTAAAAAAATTAAATTTACATTCTGTATATTATTATTGATTTTTATTGTTTTAGAAAAAGCAATTTCAAACTTTCATCTGTGGACTGTATTTTGGGAAAAATGTCTGTCGATGAAATAAATGGTGGAATAGGAAGATAGTATATTGATATATGAGTGTTTGGAATTTTAGATTTTACATTTATTAAAAAATTAAAAAGACGCATTGGTTCTCGGTATTATTATTCATTTTTATTGTTTTGATAAAATCAATTTGAAACTTTAATCTGTGAGGTGTATTTTGACAAAAATATCTGTGGATGAAATAAATAGTAGAATAGGAAGATAGTATATTGATATACGAGTCTTTAGAATTTTAGGTTTCACTTTTATTAAAAAATTGAAAATATACATTCTGGATATTATTATTGATTTTTATTGTTTTAGAAAAGGCAATTTCAAACTTTCATCTGTGAACTGTATTTTGAGAAAAATATCTGCCGATGAAATAAATAGTAAAATAGGAAGAAAGTATATTGATATATAAGTGTTTGGTATTTTAGGTTTCACGTTTAATAAAAAGTTAAAATTAGTTCTGGCTGTTATTGTTAATTTTTATTATTTTGGTAAAATCAATTTCAAGCTTTGGTCTGTGGGCTGTATTTTGAGGTTTTGTAGGTGTGTGTTTGGCACCACTACTCTAAACGATTTTAGACCATCTGGACTTTTGATTAAAAATTTTTGAATCGAGTATTATCATTTGATGTAGAGAATTTTTCTTCTGATAAATAAATTTCTAATTAACTTTTTTATTTCTCCACTCATTACGTTTCTTTTGGTATTCTCCATTTTCTGTTTCTTTATTTACTACAACCAGTCATTTAATTGGCCATGGTTGGTTTAGTGTTCATCTTTAAATTTGGAAACGTAGAGTTTCTTGTGATGTAGGAAGTACATATGAAGCTGTTATTAGATCTCTTATTTATGAGATACTCTGATACATGAGTTACTCGAGATACTTGAGCAGACAAAAATTAAGGGTAGCTGAGTATATTATAAGATACACGAGATACATGAAATGATAGACACTCCAAGAAATTACAGAAAAGTTTGAAATATCAAGAAAATGAGCAAGTCATATTTGAAACTGAAAATGAACAGATTTATCGCAATTTTTTCAGATAAATTTTATTTCACTCTATTCATCTTTTATTACGACTGAACTCGTAAAGCTTCATCTTTTATTATGGGTCACGTAAAACTGATAATACGGTGATTAAAATTTTATTTTAAATCTTTCATGGCTGAGTAATTGGATAATGGAAATGACACAGTGTAATGGTAATTTTATTTAAATTAATTTTAATACATAGTATACTCACTTATATCTGTCGTACTTTATGAGAATATCTATACAATCTAATACTATAATTTGTGTATTCCTGTTTTGATATAAAAATATTAATAAATCAGTATTCTTTAAAAATAAGAAACTGAACCTCAAGTGTCTTATGTATTAAAGTATCTCATGAAATAACCGAGTAACCAGATAATTTTTGTATATTCAAGTATCTCAGATATTTAGCAGAAATCACTATCTCACACTGTTTTATCAATACTGTAAAATTTGCTAGTATAGGTTACACGTGTGTGACGTAGAAGAGTGGTTTGACACTAAGTTTTTCCTAATATTTATAGAAATTATTATTATGAACTATTAATTGATATTTTTAATTATCGAAAAAGGGAGCAATATTTAAGGTGCACCACAGAATAAAGGAAAAACTTTTTTAATGGAAATTTTAAATACTACGTGATACTACTATACTATATACTATACTATACCATAGAATAAAGGAAAAATTTTTCTAATGAAAATTTTTAATGATACGTGATACAACTATACTATACGTGATACTACTATAAGTAAATAATCAATAGTGCAAAGTGTACAGGTTTAAATAATCGTAGAAATAATTAAAATTCAGGTAGAAAGAATAGGATTAAAAAATAACTGCTAACATGGTTCTCTTCAATTCTGACAAATTTCTTCACTGTGAAGTGAAATAGAATGAGTTATGTGACGTCAACGTGCAACTCGAATTATCCTTAGAGTCATATATTTTTCTTGTGTACCCTCGAATTATCCATTCTTGGTCCCCATGGTAGATTAATAATATTTAAATCAGAGTGAGAAAGGCATTTAATAATTCTTATATTTTGCTTATCTAAAATCATATTATTCTATTTTTATAAAATACATTTAAATATATCTTAGATTGATAAAATTGAAAAATGAAAAATGTCTTTGGTCATGTGCTTGATCTTTTGTTAATTAAAATATTTTATCTCTTTCAATATCGATTTATTACACTTTCGAAATATATTCCAAAATATACAGTGATCATTTTTACACTGTATTATTATGAATGTTTGTAGAATCCAAGGGTTTAGTTAAGAAAATAACGTCTCAAATGAAAATGTAACGAGAATTCTACATTTCTCTATTTACTTTATTTTATCTCTTATACTGGACTACCTATATCTTTCATCGATTACACGATGAAGAAGGATTACAATATAACATTGAAGTGGTATCAAGCTATAGTCGTCTTTGTATACGAATATATGCAACTGGAAATAGTTGATGTATATTATATTACATATTATTAATTATATATATCACAATATTTAATATTATATATATCATAATACAGCTAATATATAATTGCATATTATAATATATAATATTAATATGATAATATA